TAGAATGATCAAGTTTTATGCTACCATCTGCCTACAAACAGCTGACAAAGTTCTGAATGAGTCAGTTAGCTAATTTGATTTGGAAGTTATTTAGATAAACCAATGTTAATAAAACTTAATTAGTGCAAGCAGATATATCTTTAGAAGTTTGCATACAAAACATATATCGAGAGAAATATGACTGTTGGATGTTGTTTGTTTTAAATTTTATGGTTGAATTTTCCACGCCTGTCTGACTAAAACAAACAATTCAGACATTTGGATGTTCTTAACTCTTTGCAGCAGTATTATCTTTATCCTCAAGACCAGGGTTCTCCATTAATGGAAATGTGTTTCCTAATTTCTTATACAATTTTAATGAGGATCCAGCATACTCCTAGTTATACTCATTAAATACTTATTAAAATGGAGTATTCTGTTATCTCTGCTGCATAACTACACTGTCTTAGTTTTAAAGAAACTTTACAGTGTGACTGTTAACACATTTCTTCTTCTTTAAAAGTAGACATTAATTTGTCCCTCAAGTAGTACCTTCTAATTCCCCTTCTTCCAATTGGGAACTGAGAGGCCAAAGAGAGGAAGACAGTTCCATCCAATGGTTAAGGCACCAGACTAGAAAGCTAGAGACTATGAGTTGTAGTCCTGCCTTAGCCATGAAAGCCAGTTGGGTGACCTTGGCCCAGTCTCTCTCTCTTAGCTCTATTCACTTCACAGGGTTGGTGTGGGGAAAATAGGAGGAGGAAAGTATTTGGATATGTTCACTACCTTGTGTTATTTGTAAAAACAACAAAGGTGGGATTCAAATAAATGAATAGATAAATAGATGTAAAGAAATTACACATAACTTCATAGAATGACAGATGGGAACCCACCGTTATTCTTTTAATACTGTCTATGTATCAATGCTGCTAATATTGAATATTCTTGCTTTGACAAAATATACAGAACTGTCTGGTATTTTTAGAGTTAATTCAGATGATGGTGGGGGGGGGAGAAAGATAGGTCTGCGAGTGGGAAGAGAATGGAAGATAACCTTTGCCCTTCCACCTGATAGGTGAACGTGATATATGACAGCAAATTTAGGGAGGGAACATGCTGGTAAATTAATTGCTCAGGGTAAGAGAATTTAGATCTTAGCATGATGTCAAGGTTCCGGCTAATGAAACACTTCAAAGAACTTCCAGGCATTGATTTTCCTAAAAGTCTTTTATTTATGTTACAAAATGTCTGCACGGCATGACGAAGGGGTGCTAAGATCTAAATTCTCTTCCCCTGAGCAATTAATTTACCAGCATGTTCCCTCCCTAAATTTGCTATCATTCCACCTATCAGGTGGAAGGGCAAAGGTTCTCTTCCGTTCTCTTCCCTCTCCTCCCCCCCCACCATCATCTGAATTAACTCTAAACATACCAGACAGTTCTGTATATTTTGTCAAAGCAAGAATATTCAATATTAGCAGCGTTGACACTATGGTTGTATGTAAAATATATAATAGTAGTAAACTTCAGGAGAAGAATAAAAACAAGGTAATACAGATATTTGTGAGAAATGGCATTGGTGCTTTATTTAAAAAAACCTTGAACTTTAGAAATATTTGTCCTGATAATTGAATTCTTCCTCAGTGCCTATATGCACAATACCGTAGAGGGATATTTTTCTTTTTAAAGTCCTGTAACATACCCAAACAAATCAGAAACAATAATTCTGTTTTGGTATAACAGCTGTGGTGGCACAGTGGTTAGAATGCAGTATTGCAAGCTGACTCTGCTCACTGCCAGAAGTTCGATCCTGACCAGCTCAAGGTTGACTCAGCCTTCCATCCTTCTGAGGTCGTTAAAATGAGGACCCAGATTGTTGGGGGCAATATGCCGACTTTGTAAACTGATCAGAGAATGCACTATGGGGAAGTATATAAGTCCAAGTGCTATTGCTATTGTTCTTTTAGGTGATAAAGCAGTCTTTTAAAGATTTATGTCCCACTCATTGATCTCCCATTCTGAAAACTGTTAATTTTTAAAAACTTTACTCACTATCTGATCAATGTGATGACATTATTGCTGTTGTGTCTTTAACTAAAGAATGAAACATCTGCGGTGATAGACAATAGTTGGCCTATTTGACCAATAAATCAATGGCTCCGTTACTACTGGGGCCTCTTTTGTCTTTTATGCTATATCCTGGCAATAAAGAGATGATAGAATTACCATTTGTTTTCTTTGCTGCATGGCTTACATTAGCTGTGACCAAAGGAGAACAAACTTTTTGCACAGATTTCTTTTCCACACTTTATTGAAATGATGCTGCTCAATAAACAGCATCTGTTTTCAGTTTGGGAGGGAGGAGGGAGACTCACTGCAAGTGTTTGTGATCATCTCATTCTCCCAGGGTAGAGCCGTTCATAGAAACCTGATACTCTAGGTGGATATAAATGAAGTAGGTTTGTACCTATGGTAGAAAGATGCTGTACTATGAGAGGTGAACAATAAAATGGAAACTCTAGGATTGGAGTGAGGCCAGAATACATACTGTGGACTAGCTTGCATTCCACATGCAATGTAGAAGTTGTTTCAAAATGTTCTCTATCTTACCGCTCCTGCTGATTACTGCACTCCATAAAAACAAATGTTAGCTGGAGTTCATTGTAAGGTCTCCTTAAATAAAGTTTCTGAACAGTTTAGTTTTGGTCCAATTTTCTGTCAATATTCTAAATTTGAGATTGTTCATTTTGCTTGACTTCAGTAGAAATGCAGTTGCCAGCTGTGAAATTTTGGATCCTGTTCTAGTATGGCATTCCAAATCCCTGCTCAGCAACAACAAAGTTAGCAGAGGACATACTCCTAGACTTAAATCTGATTCCACTTTAAGCTAATAGGATACTTTTTATGAGATGGTGCTTTGTAAGTCTGCAGGAAATTACTTCTTGGGCAGGCAATATTCTGTTTTTCAACAAACACCGTTACAACTAATGGCTAATTTTTTCTAAGAGAAGCACACATTGCCTATAGGAAAGGAAAATTAGCTCCTTGTCAAATGCTTTCTCTATTTCTTGCCAATGGTAAGCCAGCTTTTTGTTTTCACAGAGATCTGTTTGAATGTAGGCCTCACCCAATTTATGATTCAGCTCTATAATCCATTGTGTCAGCAGTGCCGCCTCATGGCCTGGCACCTACTGCTAAAATAGAACACAATAATCTTACAGACTCTGTGTCAAGCCAGGTAATTGCATTGGCCAAAAGTCAAACATTAGTAATAGCATTTAAAGATATTCTTTAGAATTATTAGTGTATTATTATAAAGAAACATTTCCTGATTATAGGTGAGGAATAGTGAGAATTAAGAAAGATATGTTTGGAAGTGATATTATTGACTACACAAACAACCTATCAAGCCCCAAACCAAATATGACATGTAGCATTTATGAGTTGAGTTGTTTATTGTTCCATACCTATAGACAAAATCTTGCCATACTGAAAATTCTACTATCTGCAGCTACAATACAGGTAGTCCTCGACTTACAACAGTTAATTTAGTGACCGTTCATAGTCTACAATGGCACTGAACAAAGGTACTTATGACCATTTTTCACACTCACAACCTTTGCAGCATCCCCAGGATCATGTGATCAAAATTGAGATGCTTGGCAACTGGTTCATACTTATGACTCTTGCTGTGTCCCAAGGTCATGTGATCACCTTTTGCAACCTTTTGACAAGCAACATGAATGGGGAAGCCAGATTCACTTAACAAACATGTTACCAACTTAGCAATTGCAGTGATTCACTTAACAACTGTGGCAAGAAAGATCCTAAAATGGGGCAAAATTCACTTAACAAATTGCTTACTTAGGAACAGAAATTTTGGGCTCAATTGTGTTCGTAAGTTGAGGACTACCTCTATATTTTGTGAACTATTAGGGAGGGACTGTCTTCATCCTCTTTCTCCTATACAAGATATCTGGGCTAAGTTACCTCTTACTCCTCTAGAATGTATCCCTCCCTTCTGGGCATCCAGGTCCTCGCTACATTCCATCACATCACCATAGAGCAGGGGTAGTCAACCTTGGCTCTTTTATGACTCGTGGACTTCAACTCCCAGAATTCCTGAACCAGCTGTGCTGGCTCAGGAATTCTGGGAGTTGAAGTCCACGAATCATAAAAGAGCCAAGGTTGACTACCCCTGCCATAGAGTAAACCTCCATGACATACACTCCATGATTTTTTACAATATCACTATGTTATATTTAAGAAATAACTGCCTAAATTTGCCTCCAAGTGTGTAGCTTTCATTTTAAAAAAATATGAAGTAGTGTCCTAGAGTCTAGCTAAATGTTTATCAGGAATTGCTTTTTTAAGTATTTGTAACCTCTGTACAGTTTTGTTATACATGCAGTCATTAATTATTCAAGAACTTAACAATCTTGATTCATTAACAGGCCAGACTCATTATCTCTTGATGAAGGCAGAGAGACGGTGACTAATTCATCTGTTCAAGGTTAATACTGTGCAAGAAAATGAGCTAATATTTCACAAGTGCTCATCCAATCTAAATTTGAAACAAATAAAAACTTAACTGAAACTGTGGATAATTAAAAGAGTTAATAATAGTTGTAATCAGCAACTCAATTCAGGGGAGCACGATAAAACCCTCAATTCTTACCTGTGACATACAAATACTCAATCCAAGTTTTACAGTAACAATAGCACTGAAAAAGTACCTCTAAAAAGGAACTGTGCTGTTGATCTGACTACTTTACTACACCAAACCACCAAAGAAAAAAAGATTACAAGAACCACGTCTCCTTTTTAAATCCCCAATCCCATTGGCATTATTACCATTGTCCAGTCTTGAAAAATTTGGGACTGAGATGTTTTCAGGATAGAGTAAATGGTAGGGAAGAATAAGGATACGGGAAAGAAATAACAAAGTTAAACTACATCAGAAAATGAAATTAATTATCCCATCCCATGTTGTAATCAACGGAAAACATATTCAGGTCCTACCTGCTCCAAATGCAAAGAAGAAGCTCTTGTCCGTGTTGTCTCTTAAGAGAGCCATTACTCTTTTCCCCATTCTTTCATTCCTCTTGTAGATCAGTTCCTGTCGGAAATACCTGTCAATCTCTTGAGCTGTAACCTGCTCATGTGGAGGAAGCGTTGTGTTGATGAAATTAGGGAGCTGGAATGAAAAACAGGAATAACTCTCAATAAGAAAAAAATGCAAAGGAGAAGTTGGTGAGTTGGGGGAAAACCATTAGAAAGATCAGTAGTGGGATTACCTCTGGTACTTTCCAAAATCTAACCAAAAAGAACTGTGCAGCTTTCTCCAGACTATTTTCTAATTTGGGTTAATTTAATTTAGTTAAGTTTGCCTCCAGAATATTTTCTAATTATGGGATGCTTCATAATATTGCTTGACTGTTACTAGATATGGTCAGGAATATGGCTCAAAAGTTAGAGTAGCCCACCTCTTAATAGATATCTACTAAAAGTAAAGATACCCTTGAGTCAAACTTGACTCCTGATAACTGCACTCATGCACTTTTCTTGACAGCTTTACATTATTTCAGGATGTTTTCTTTACTACTTAGCTTAGCCAACAGCTTTGATATTCCCAGAACACTCATCCAATCACCAACTTGGGCTGGTCCTATTTAATTTTCAAGATCAGCCGGGATCAGACCTTTAAATAATGACCAAAATTGTATATTGGTAGTTTGGAAGAAATGGGGAAGGGAATTGGGAATTAAACTGAGTTATAACCCATATAACAAGCTCCTAAAACAGTTTTATTGACATGAATAAAGCACACTCTAACCATTAAAGCTGTTTCTTTGTAAATAACTAAAAGTACCACAAAGTCTAGCTTTAATCAAAGAGACTAGAAGCCCAATTAAAAACACAAGATAGAAAGTAAATAGAAATTAAATTAAGCGCAAAAAAACCCCTATTAGTACACAATATAAACACAAAAAAGTATACCAGAATTAAGGCTTAATGCAATAAATGGTTGGGTGGAAGGTTTAAATGACGTTTGGTCTGTAATTCCTGTTTATTTTAGACTCCTGGGACTATTAATAACAGGGAGTTCAGTTTCCTTGAGAAATATTAGGCAAAAAAAGGGATGGTAGAAAAGAATTGTGAATTATGGCAAAGCAGAGAAAGAAGACTAAAAAGACTTCGGGGTGGGGGGGTTGGAGACTGTGGAGGTTCATTTCCTGCTGTTAAGCAGCATTTGGCAGGAAAAAAAATGGCATCAAAGACAAGAAAGAAGAAAAATCAAAGGACACACGTTGAAGGAGAGTTACTGTAAGTGAAAGTGTATGAAAGCTCCAATTCATTAAAATAATCTTCCCAAGATCCCCGAAGGATTACATTTACTGTAGGTCTTATGGATTCAGTTTAGACAAGTAGAGAATGGAGGTCTAGACCTAGTCCACAAAACAACATAAAAGTTTTAACCTGTAATGAGTACATCACTGCACAAAGTTCTAGGACACTTCCCCTGCCAATCTTTGATTGGAATTTAGCTGTTATAATATGCTTGCACTTGGTAGCCCTTGAGAAATTTCTCCTCAGGTTTATTCAGCACCCCTGCCTATTACTTCAGAAGCACATCCAGAGGCACATGGACATTTGGAGCAAGGAGGCAGCAATGGTGCTATCTGATTAAAGGTGGAATTTTTTAAATCTTGCTGGAACCACCAAAGTTTTCATGAAAATAGCCATTTGTGTTTTTTTTCTCTAGGCTTAAGGCCTACATTCTGTACCAATTCAAAACAAGTTTAGGACCTTTGTGATCCAATGATATCTGCTGTGTTTCAGAGCTGAGCTGATTTATTTCTGGAACTGCAATGTGTTTAAAACCACAGTAAAGCTACTCTTTTCTTCAAAATACTGTGGTTGTGGGGATTTCTCTTTTGCAAGACCTGTTGCTTTGATACATCTATTGGCTCCTGAATTTTACTTCTTTCAAGGTGAAAGGTGGCTTGCCAACTTTGCAGCTTTCCTTCACTATTCAGTTTTTGGTGGGTTGGGGAGGAGCTTTTTTGCACACAAGACAGTGCACACAATATAAATAAATTGACTGGGATTTTTTTGGGGGGGTCAAGCAACTTATTTCATTTTCCTTTTGCATGGAGCTGGCATAAATTAAATGTATTACTCTAAGACCAATAGCAGAGAGAAGCAGAGATTGAATTGTATATTTTGCTCCTTGTTCTCATTGTTTTAAGGCAGACATTTTAATTGCCATTTAGTTGTCATTTTAGTTGCCATTATGATTATCTCGTTGTAGACTTCTGCTTACTGGAATTTGAAATCTTGATTGCCTCAAAACATAAAAAGAAAGGAACCTTGATAAGTACAGTGGTACCTCGGTACTCAACTGTTTTGAAAGTCGTCAGATTTGGTACTCGACATATTTTGACGTGAAATTGAGTCCCGGTAGTCGTTTGTGTGATATGTGATGTGCAAGCTAGAATTTGTCGGTGTTGATTGCCCCATGAATCTACCCTTTCCAGCTGAAACAATGGGTCACACGTTAGTCACGTGATTTGTTTGGTACTCGTTTTTAGTACTTGTAGCACCTTCCAGAACCAATTAATGACAAGTGCTGAGGTACCACATAGTTACAATCAAAATAATGCACTTATTTGTCTGAAGCATAACAGTCATCTTTTGATAAAAGCTATGATATCTGGAAAATTAATCAGGGAAAAAGACTATTTTATGATTTTAAATTTGAGCCATGAACCTTGAATTAAAATTTAGATTTAGCTACCAAATAAAATCAGGCATCATCTGAATGAAGCTGTTTCTCAAACCACTAAATGAAAAACCAACTCCCCTAATAGAACCCAATTGATAAATGACTATTTTACAATACTTTGATGTCTTAGTAATGCAGTTAAAATACACGACTTATCAATTCTGGATTTTTCCCCCCTGAGTTAATGGTAATGACAAGATACGATCAATTTCCAATTACAGAGATATTGCTACCACTTTTTACTACAAAACATAAATACAAAAGAGTTTCATTCTCTTTAAGGCAGCATATTTATATTATACTAATTACATAATATACAGTAAATTTTTCCTATAATAAACACTAAACCCCTACTGTAAACTCATTTCCCCATTTCTTTCCATATGGGAAGCATCAAAGGTGAAGTTTCTTTAAACTGGCCTAATTTTATTAACCATCAGACAAATCATTTTTTTTTTCAAAGGAAGGGTATTCTTTTTATTTCTAAATACTTTTGGTTTCCCAATCCCAACTCCTCTAACCAGCCCATGTGACGCCAAGATGTTTTGAGAACGGTGAGGTGCTAGGCAGATAACAATTCACACTCAAGGCACAATGGCCTTGGAACCTGAGGAAAACTGGCTAGGAAGGAGTCCATCCTGTCTCCGAAGACAATCCCTCTCCCTAATTCCCAAGCGAACAGCAGAAGTGGAAAAATCCCAAGCATGCTATCCCCGCTTCCCCCTCAGCATGATGGCAGGACACCATAGTATGATGATGGACCTGACACACTGTGTTATTCTAACAGGAATATATTTATTCATGACAAAAATTAAGTACAGTTTAAACATACATTTAATAATAGTTTTTTTGTAGTTGTTTACAAAAAAAGACATCAGAATAATAATAACAACAACATTGTCATTTTAGATACAACACTTCTTTCTAAGATATTCTAAGTTACTATATTTCTAAGGCCCTTAATCCTCACTGCAACTGTTCTGTGGCTTGGGACAAGAGAGATAAATGACCCAAGCATGCATGTTTTGCAAAGTAATGTAACCACAGAGCAAATCCTGTTGCTGAGTCCATTAATCATCAGTACTTCTCTCTTTGTATTTATGTTCCTTTCTACACTTTGACATACACCATGCTTCGTTCAAAAAAAGCAACTGCTCCTTGTTGATTTATCAGAAATTGCTTCTTAAATCATAGGGATTTAAGAAAGCTTCACATATTCAGATAGAGAAGTTCCTTTTTAAACACACATTTCAAAGATACTCATGAAAACAAACTTTCTTTTCATTTCATGTGAAAAATGCTTAGGCATAGCACAGAGAATTCAGTTGATGCAAGGGATTTGCTAAGCTAGTAGAAATACTTGCTCCTCTCACATTTTTAACTAGTACCATACAAAATCTATCAGTAACACCAATAGAAATTCCTCTTTAAAAACAGCAGAGGTCCTGCAGGAGGCAAAAATTCACCTTAAGCAGGGCAAATGAATTCTTCATCAAGAACTTTGTGACTTCAGCCCTTGAAGGGACTACGAGTTGTTCCCAAAGAACTGTTGGGACAGCTCTCCCTCTAATAATCTGGCTCCACTTAACATCTGAGAGAAAGCAGAAATGATGAGAGCCATTCCAGGAAACTGGTGCTATCAGCTCCTGAGAAAAGCCTCAGGGTTCTTGGCAGATGAGTGACACAGAAATGAATCTTGCAGGTATTTTCTGGGGGGAAAGCTGAACATCAGGAATTCTTTTACATTTCCTCTTAAACATAGCCAAGAAAAAAACAGAATGGGTTTAGGGTTGGAAATACAGTAAAAGATTACAGCTTGCTCAGCAAGCAAGATCAACAACAGCCTGAATTTGGTAGCAACATCTTTATAGTTCTCTGGGATACATTTCAATAGAATAAGAATGAATATAATAATAAGCTAGGTCACTTTGTCCAGACTATATTTATATGACTGCAGATTTTGGTCCTGACAGGATTCTAGCTGACTCAGCCTTCCATCTTTCTGAGGTTGGTAAAAATGAGGACCCAGATTGTTGAGGACCATATACTGACATTGTAAACTGCCCAGAGAGTGCTTAAAGCACTATGGGATGGTATATAAACCTAAATGCTATGCTATTGCTATTGCTATTTCAGTGAACATTAGGCTAAGTCAATGCAGTAATTGTCCCAGTTAAATTCATCAATTTTTCTGCCATGTTACAGTGCAGAGCTCAGTGTGCAGAGAAGGGAGAACAAGGAGCATTCTACAAGACGTAGGGCTCCAACCAAGATTAAATTCCATTCGTCAAGCAAAATTGTACATCATTCTTGCCTCCAGATGTTTATTCAAATTTCTAATTTATGCAAATTATGCAATTATTGGTAGTTGTTGACTTACATGAAACATATAGTTCTTATAAGAAATC